GCAGGTGCTCTGAAGATCACGCAGGCAGGAGGAAGCAGCTTCTCTTCCTTGTCCCCGTGGCCTGGCTTCCCGAGCCTGCTCCAGGACGGCCATGGGTGTTTGCGAAGGGTCACGTAGCCGCTTCCGCCACCTCCCCTCCCCCCCCCCCGCACCACCAGAGGAGGTCAGTGCGAGGTCCCCCCCGGCGGGGGGTGCTGAGAGAGACGTTGGGGGCCAGGCAGCAGTCCCAGGACTCCTGGGGTCTGAGCCAAAGAGGCCTCAGCCAGAGCTGGGCCGCAGGATCGGGGCCAGGCCAGGATTGCCCTGCCTGAGGTTCCAAAGGGAGCCCAGACCCGCTGGGGCTGTTCCCTGCCTTCCCGAGGGATGGGCCTAAGAGCCGCCAGCCCTTGGCACTGGGCCTGGCATTTGTCAGCACCGACGGCCCGGGTTCTTGTCCCCGGGCACCGAGGCCTCGAGCGACGGCAGCTGGGCCTCTCCCCGTGGCCCTGGAGGGTCCCAGCCCCTGACCTCTGGGCCTCTCCCCGTAGCACTGGGGGTGGGGGTCTCAGCCCGACCTCTGGGCCTCTCCCCGTGGCCCTGGGGGGTCCCAGCCCCTGACCTCTGGGCTGCTTCCTCGTGGCACTGGGGGATCCCAGCACCCACCCTGGGCCGTGCCCCAAGGCACTGGGGAATACTGGCTCCATAGCCCTAGCCATGCCCCCACCACACTGGGGTGGGGGGGTTTCCCAGCACTTTCCCCTTGGGGTCTGGACCCCCGGGGCACTGGGGGGATGCTGGCCCCCTGGGGACACCAGGCTGATCCTGAGCGCATGAATCTGGCTGGCCGACCATGTGCACAGAGCACCCTGCCAGACGCCCGGGACACCTGCCCTGAGAAAGGGCCACTCCTGGCAGAACCGGGTGGCTCCCCCTGGCCCTGGGGGCCTGTTTTTTCCTGACCGCGCCCCAAGGTCTCTGCCCTGACTTTTGTTCTGCGGCCCCCGGCGGCTTTCCTGTTTTCGGGGCCTGACTGTGGGAAAGTGGAGCTGGGAATGCGGGGGCGTGTGTGTGTGTGTGACCGTCACCTTCACACAAATAAACACAGGCGGATGTGTGGGGGGGTGGGGGGGGCAGACAAGGGCACAGCTGGAGGAACCCACTGAAGCCGCGATGCTCACACTGGGGTAGTTGCTTTTCTATCAAATGCCTTTTTGCACGGATGTTAGACCTGGGCAGAGGGGCCAGGCTGAGCCCCCCGGCCCCGCCCGCATGCACCCCTGCCCTGAGATTGAAGTTCCAGTTTAGGCAAGTTCCCACAAATACACGAGATGCCCCCCACCCGGCTGGTGGCCGGGGGAGGGGCTGGGTGTCTCTGTTTTGCCAAAGGGGGAAGCTGGCCCCGGGAACCACACTGAGACCCCCTGCAACTCATTACAGGGATGGGCTAGAGAGTAGCATGAATTTTTCACCATCTGGGTGTTGGCAGGGGTCAGCTCTCACTGCAAGGGGCCAGCCCCTCCCCCACTGAGCCCCCACCCTGCCCCCTGCAGCACAGCGCCCCCTAGCACTGCACTGGGGTCAGCTCTGCCTGCAAGGGGAGAGCACCCCCTATTGAGCCCCCATTGGCTCCCTGCAGCATAGCGCCCCCTAGTGCCACACTGGGACATGGGGGTCAGCCCTGACTGCCAGGGGATAGCGTCCCATATTAAGCGCCCACTTCCTGCAGCACAGCGCCCCCTAGTGCCACAGCAGGTCTAGGGACTCAGCACTGACTGTGCAGGGAGAGCGCCCCCTACCGCGCTGGGGCCAGAACTGACTCCAAGCGCAGGCCACCCAGAGCTAACCCCACGCCCAACAGCGCCTTGCTGGGCTCCCGTCGCAGCACTGAGCTGTGCAGACCCCCAACAGACTCCCAGCTTTGCCTGCCCCCCCCCCCCCCAAGGCGGCCGTTGAAGAGAGCCGGGAGCGGGATGGGAGGTGGGAAGCAGCTTTGAAGTGGGGCTGGTGCAGCTTTGCCCTGGGCGCCTCTTGCAATGTACCTGCTGCAGGGTGGCTCCGCGCCAGGCTGAAACTGATGTGGACAATGGGCGGAAATCCATGAACCGGCTGCAAAAAACCAAAAAACCAAAACGAGCCTCATTTTGTGTGTGTGCCTTGTTTGTCTGCGGCTTCCCCAGGGCGCCGGGATCCTGCGGGCGAGCCCTGCCCCACCCCTTGCATGGGATCAACCCCCCAAACAAAGCCACGCGTGCCCCTCTGCCCCCAAAACACCTCCATCCTCTAGCAAAAGGCAGCTGCAGCAGCCATGGCGCCCGGTCGGTGACGAGACCAGTGACTGAGCTGCCCCCCTCCAGAGTGGGGGAATTGGCGGGGAAGATGGTATGTGGGTATGATGCAGGGAAGACTGCCCTGCTGCCGCCCCAGGTAGTACCCGCTCTGGGGATGCCCTTTCCCTGGCGCTAAACCCACAGCGTGTGGTGGGGAGGCAGCAGGCCTGGTTGTTTGACTCAGACCCCCATCCCAGCTGGGCGGAAGGGCAGTGCCATTGGAATGGAAGGCACTGTGTCATGGGCACGGGGGCTGGCCTGGCAAGGACCGGGCCTAAAGGTGGTGCCAATCCCTTAACAAGGCACCGATGCGGGGGGACCAAGATTGGAGGGCAAGGCCCCACCTCAGGGCTGTGCCCAGATGCACCTAGCGGGGCTGTCAACGCCTCTGGGAGCCCCATCTGCCCTAGGTGGCCGATGGCAGTAATCGTCCTGTCCCTCGCACAGCAGCCTCTCCCCAGAGCGGATGCTGGAATCCCGCCACGTGGCCCCCTCCAGCGCATCCCCGGACGCTTTGGAGGTTGCCAAGAGCCCCAGGGTATATTGCTGAGAGGTGCTGCGCGTTTCCCTGCTTTCAGTTACAGTGAGGCAAACACAGACTAACTCCACAGAGAGTCATAGTTCTGAGACCAGGGGCCCATCAACCCTGGTATCCGGTCTCCAGAGTGGCCAGTCCCCGCTGCTTCAGAAGAAGGTGCAAGACGCACCCCAGTGGACAACAAAGAGACAATCTGCCCAGAGAGGATTGCTCCCAACCAATTACTGGGTTGTATTTTGCCCTGAAGCATGAGCACATAGGTCTGTGTTTTAATCCTTCCTAACATAACTGGCTATTCCCATTATTCACATAAACCTCAGATCCTGGTTTGAACCCTGCTAAACTCTTGGGATCATTAATATCATGTGGCAGTGAGTTCCACAGGCCAAATCCTTTTGTCGGTTTTAAATCGGTTGCCTCTCCATTTCACTGAACAGCCCCTTGTTCCTGAGTCATGGAAAAGGGTGAACGAAAACACTGTGTCTACCTTCCTAATCCAGTCACGGTGTTCTGTGGCTTTAACATCATAATCCGTCACTCTTCCTCAGTAAATCTCAAAGCGCTTTAGAAAGGAGGGCAGTATCATTATCCCTATTTACAGATGGGGAAACTGAGGCACAGAGGGGCAAAGTCACTTGTCCAAGGTCACCTGGCAGCTGAGCCAGGAATAGAACCCAGTGCCCCAAGTTCCAGTGCTGTATCCACTAGGACACGCTGCCTCCCATGTCCCTCTGTTATATATCTCCTCTCTAAACAGTCCCCATCTTTTCAATTTCTCTTGATAGGGAAGTTCCAACAACCTCCAATAGATTCCACAGATAGATTCATAGATTCTCTTAAGGCCAAAAGGGATCACTGTGATTATCTAGTCTAGCTTCCTGCATAACACAGGCTGGATATTCCCCAGCCCGTGATTCCTGCTTCCAGCCCATATCTTGTGGTCGAGCTAGAACAGATCTTTTCTAAACAGACACTGAATGCTGATGGGAAGACTCCAGCTGATGGAGAATCCACCCCCTCCCTGGATCAGTTGATTAAAGGCTTAATCTCCTCCTCCTCCTATCTCAAAATTTGTGCCGTGTTTCCAGTTTCAATTTGTCTAGCCTCAACTCCCAGCCACTGGATCTCACACTGCCTCTTGTTTGCAAGATTAAAGGACCTTCTAGTATCAAATCTCTTCTCCCCTTGTAAGTGTTCGCAGCCTGTGATCAAGCCAACTTACTGTGGTGTAAATAACAGCAGAATTGGCCACTCAACCTACTAGCAGCGGTAAAGAAAACCAAAGCAGATCCGTCAGAAAAACAAAGCATCAAACTGTTTTTTTTTCACTGAGCAAAATAGATATTTTATATATTTCTTTTGAGAGAAAATGGGGACATACAAAAAATGTAAAAGGAAAAAAAAATCCGGGAAACAGACAGGGATATATGTACAGGACACTTCTTATAAATATACAATATATACAATTTAAATATGTATATAGAGTATCTCCAAAAAGCTTTTTGTACACGGCACTTCTTTTGTTTTAAATTAAAACAAATGCAGTTTTCAAATAATAATAATAATAAAAAAAATCATTAAAGATTTTTCTCCCCCCCCACCCCCCACCTTTGTAACACTTTAAAGAGCCGTTCCTATCCCCTCGCGCCATTGGTTCCTGAAAGCAAAAGAATCCATTAGTGGAGCGTCCCGTCTAACCGCCTCCCTTCCAACCCATCTCTGGCACATAAAGGGCGTCGAGAGCTTGCAGCCATGTGGTCTCAGCGTGTGGCCCCGCCCCTTGCATGGGGGGAGGGGCTTATCCCCATCCACCGCTCTGATTGGCCAAGTGGCAAGGGGCGGGGCTTCCTTCCTTCAGCTCGACAGGGAAGCAGTCTGAGACAAAACCACAGCATTAAAATAATAATAATAATAATTAATAATCATAATTAAAAAGCCAGGGCAAAAGGAACAAGAATCCATTCCTGGCAGCCCCCTGCTGGAAAAGGACCGGCCTTTTCTGACTACTGCTCTACCGTCTTCCTGATGCATCTCGAGTGCAACATCCCCCCTCCCTCTACTCTCCAGCTTCCCCCCCAAAACAACCTCCCCCCCGCCAAAAGAGACATCCGCACCCCCCCCACAGCCAACTTTCCACCTTCCCAACCTTCCTCCGTTCCTTTGGTCCCCTCCCACCCCCCAACTCACATAGCAGCAAGAATAAATATTAAATATTTTTCTCTTTAGAAAACAAACAGGAGTCGATATTTATCATCTATAGATTAAAAAATAACAGTACGTCGTCCGCTGCTGATCCAGGCGTCCGAGGAGGCATCTCTGTAAACATTCTTTAGCGGGGCGGGCCGGGGGGGGACACGGAGCCACAGGTCCGAGGTCAGGGGGCCACTCTTAAACCTAGAAATGAACAAGAGCGGGGGGACAAACAATTAGGGCAGACGGTAACCGGCTGGCAGTCAACAGGCCCTTGCCCCGCCCCCTCCCACACCACCCTGGCCAAGGAATCCAGCCCAAGCGTGGGGTGAGGGGGTCTTTGTTTGGCGGAGACCCCGGCCCTGCGCACCTTGGTTCGTAAACGTGCCGGTTTACGGGGGCTGGTTGCACCCCGTCCAGATGTTGGGTCTTAGGCACAACCAAAGAAGTGACTCTCTGATTCAGAGAATCAGAGAAGATCAGGGTTGGAAGGGACCTCAGGAGGTATCTAGTCCAACCCCCTGCTCAAAGCAGGACCGACCCCAACTAAATCATCCCAGCCAGGGCTTTGTCAAGCCTGACCTTAAAAACCTCTAAGGAGGGAGATTCCACCACCTCCCTAGGGAACCCATTCCAGTGCTTCCCCACCCTCCTAGAGAAATAGCGTTTCCTAATATCCAACCTAGCCCTTCCCCATTGCAACTTGAGACCACTGCTCCTTGTTCTGTCATTCCTGCCTTCCCATGTGAATCCTGTCTCAGGATTTACACTGAGCCCAATTCAGGACTTCAATGGAGCACTGCAGATCTACACCAGCTGGGGATGGGACTTTACGTGTGTGCTACGGGAGTGGAGCAGAGCTGATGGGTTCAGCAGAGGGCCATTGACCTCCCTACAGAGTCCCAAAGTGAGATGCTCCCATGTGTCGGCGTTTACACCCACACGAGGTGAGAGTCAAATGCTCCCGCTGGGTAAGTTGGTGGGTGCCAGGAAGGGCGTGGGGCAGGGGAGATGGCGTGGAATGGAGGCTGGAAGTCACCCGAGGACAAGCCACAGCCTGGGTGACGGGGCACACGAAATGCACACAGAGCTGTGAGTGGCGGAGAGGGTCAACAGCTCGTACTGAGAAACAAGGAGGCACTTAGAGGTATTATAGTACAGCCCAGCCAACAGCTGGGCCCCGCTGGGCCCGGTGCTGCCCACGCATGCCCCTGCCCCAAAGAGCTCCCAGGCTAAGCAGACCCAGGGATGAGTCTCCCCCTTTTACAGCAAGAGAGAGGAAGTGATTTGCCAAGGATCGTTAATGGAGTCCATGGAAGAGCTGGAGAGAGCAACTAGATCTTCCTCCACGTTTGCAGCATGTGATCAGACCCCTTGGAAGCACTAGGGGGCGCCCCTTCCACCTACTCTGGCTCTGTATAGCACATCGCGCATGGTGAACTTGCTTAGCACACGCCCAGGGACATTGTCTCTGTAGGTGTCTGTACAGTGCCGAGCGCGGTGGGTGCCCTAATGGATTGGGACAGTCGGGCGCTACCATTGTGTCAATAATAACAATAGCACCTTTTGTCAGGAGGCCTGAAAGCCCTTTACATATGGGAAAACTGAGGCACAGAAGGGGCAGGGGAGCCACTTGCCCAAGTTCACTGTGACCCCAGGAGTCGCTCAAAGCCAACTATACGTCGTATCAGGCATGACACATTCATCACCCCAACCCACTGTTGTCACAATATATCTCTAAAAGGTGTCAGGCGAGGTACCATATGTAAACTGGTGACACGCTGGGCCCCCAAATCATGGGGCAATGTATGTGCCAAGACTTATAGCTGTGTGCTGGTGGCAGAGCATACATCCAGCCTGCCCGGCTTCATTCAGGCAGAGGATCATGACAGTACATTTACATGTAAGGTAAACAAAACCATCAAGCTAACAAGCGGTGGAGAAGAACATGCCGGGGGACAGAATCTGCACCCCAAGAAGCCTCCCTGCCTCTTGACGCAGAGACAATGCCCTTCGGGTAATATAAGGGGAGCAAAAAGACATTTCCTTTATCTGTTGCTTAGGGGACTGAGGGGCTGCAGCCCGTGAGCCTGTGAAAGTTGGATCCTCTTGACCTGAAGGGCAGGAGATGCTGCTAACGTGCTGTGAGACATTCATTTAGGCAAAGAAATCACTTGCTGGAATTCACATCTACTCACTAGAAATCATATGCTGTTTGTACCCAGATCTGTCTCTTTTTCTCTCACTTAATATCACCTAAATCCTGTTTGTTCCTAATAATGTTTTACTCTAAACCAGAAGTTCTCAACTGGGGGTGCGCGGGCCCCGAGCAGGTTTCAGGGGACCCGCCAAAATATATTAGAGAGCAGGGCCAAAGTTAGACAGGGCAGAAAGCCGAAGCCCGAGCCCTGCCACCCGGGGCTGAAGATACCCCCGCGGCTTGAGCGAATCATTGAACAGCAGCAGCAACAAGCTTCACACTATGTACATTTTTTCATTGCAGGACCTCCAGTCTCCTTTTCTTTTTTATATTCTAGATGTGTGTGTGTTTCACTGTATAACGATCCATTTCACGAAGCTTTTAATCTACTGGACACATAGGCGCCGACTTTTTGGTTCCTGGGGGGTGCTCGACTCCCGCTCCGTCCCAGGCCCTGCCCCCTCTCCACCCCTTCCCCTAAGCCCCCGCCCCACCTCTTCCTGCCCCCATTCCACCCCCCGTCCCTCTCAGTGCCTCCTGCATGCCACGGAACAGCGGATCGTGGCGGGTGGGAGACGTTGGGAGGAGGGGAAGGTGCTGATCCGCAGGGCTGCCACTGTTTTTTTCCCATGGGTGCTCTGGCCCTGGAGCACCCACAGAGTTGGCGCCTATGACTGGATGTGCCAAAAAATGGTTCTTGGGGCACAGGTGAGCACTGGAGTTTTTATAGCATGTTATGGGGGGCTCAGAAAGGAAAAGGCCGAGAACCCTGCTCTAACCCATCTCAGGGCCGTAATATTCAAATAGGCGTGAATCCAACAGGCACTGTCTCTTTGGAGGCAGCGATCTGAATTTCCCTGAGTGCCACTGTGAGAGGGATTGGCCCGGCTTGCTAACCCCTAATGCTGGCCCTGGCTTTTATATGCAGAAAACCTGTTACTGTGGCACAGGTGGGCCGTGGAGTTTTTATAGCACGCAGGCGGGGGCCTCAGAAAGGAAAAGGTTGAGAACCCCTGCCCTAGAGATCTGCCTACCTTCATGGTCCTGGCTTTAATGCCCTTGGAATCGGCATGGGCGACATCTAAACAAGGTGGGGCATCTACTGGAGCTGTCTTAGGGCACTGCCAGCAGCCCAAGACTCAGGACGCTTGTCTACTGGCCTGCCCCATTTGGGAACAGTGTCACCAGAGCTTCCAGCCTCGGCGCTCATCTATGACTCTGCTTCTTTCCTTCTCCCCAGATCCAGCATTGGCTTCCCTTACAATCCACCCCTGTCTCTAGCCCTTGGTCACCTCTTACCTTGACTTCTGTGACCGCCTCTTTTCTGACCTCATTGTCTCTTGATCCCTCTCCCCTCCAATCCATGCTAACTGGAGATAGCCTTTCCTCATCTTCGAATCACTTCCACTCTTTTCATCAAATGTAAGGCCAGAAGGGACCATTAGATCACTGATTCTGACCTCCTGTATATCACACACCTGAGAATTTCACCCTGTTTCCCCTGTATCGAGCCCATGAACTTGTGTTGGACTAAAGCATCTTTTCCTATAAAACATCCAGTTTGGATATGAAGACATCGAAGAGATGGAGAGTCCATCAGTTCCTTCGGCAGTTTTACCTGCACTGGTAAAACAAATTGTGCCTTATTTCTAATTGGAATTTGTCTGGCTTTGACCTCCATCCATTGGTTCCTGTTCTTCGCTAGATTAAAGACCCCCCCTTAGTACCTGGTATTTTCTCCCCATGAAGATATTTAAATATTATATTCAAGTCACCTCTCAGTCTTTTTTCTGATAAGCTACACAGACTGAGCTCTCTAAGGCCTGGTCTACACTACAGAGTTAGGTCGACGCAAGGCAGCTTCCATCAACCTAACTCTGTAAGCGTCTACACTAAAATATAGCTCCCACTGATGTAACTCGCCCGCTGTGCCAACTTAACAACTCCACCTCTGCAAGAGGCCTAGCACACGGGTCAGCGCAATCACAGAATCATAGAATATAGAAGATCAGGGTTGGAAGGGACCTCAGGAGGTATCTAGTCCAACCCCCTGCTCAAAACAGGACCAATCCCCAACTAAATCAACCCAGCCAGGGCTTTGTCAAGCCTGACCTTAAAAATATCTAAGGAAGGAGATTCCACCACCTCCCTAGGTAACCCACTCCAGTGTTTCACCACCCTCCTAGTGAAAAAGTTTTTCTTACGTTGACCGTTACTGGCTTTCAGGAGCCGTCCCACAGTGCCCCACTCTGACAGTTCAATCAGTGCAAGCGCGCCTGGTGAGGATGCACACCGCCGACACAAGAAGTGTCGTGTGAACACACAAAAGTGATTTAATCACCGTGGTGGCTGTAGGTCGACTTAATTTTGTAGTGGAGACTTGGCTGAAGTCTCTGACTGCAAGACCTTTTCTCCAGCTTGGAAGTCATTTTTGTAGCTCTTCTTTGGCCCCTTGACAATTTTTCAATGTCCTTTTTAAACTGGCGACGGCAGACCTGGAGGCAGTATTCCATGATCAGTCTCCCCAATGCTGTGTGGAGGAGGCGCCTGCCCCTCAAGCTGTACTCGCTGCTCCCCTCATTATGTGTCCAAGGATCCCATGAGCCTTGTTTGTCACAACATTGCACTGGGAACTCTCGACTTCAGGCTGGAATGACTCACTCCAATCAGCTGATGTTTACCAAACACCCTGCTTCTCGAACACAGAAATTCATGAACTTCCCAGAGATAATGACCACAGGCCGCTGTGTGTCTGGGTCTGGACTGCAGCCACTTGCAACTTAGCTCAATGGGGAAGGGACTGTGAGGAAGGACGTGTATGCTCTGTCCAGTCACTGTGCCAGACCCGACACACCCAATGCATTGAGTAGCAACACTGGCATGGTCAGTACATCAAATAGCAATCCTGTCACGCTCAACGCAATCAGTGCAAAGCTGCCATGCCAAACTCATCGAGTAGCGAAGCCATCACTCTCAACTCATCGAGTGGCAATGCCAGGGCGCC